AATGGACATCGCTAAACACATTAACAAACAAATAAACGAACATCGCAACAATATTTGGCAAAAAACCCTATCCGAAATTAACCCGAAGGACAACTCACTGTGGGGGGTTGTGAAAAGGTACAAAAAGCCCTTCTCACAACTTCCTACTTTGAATCTAGGACAAAATACACTCACAACAGACAACGAGAAAGCTCAAGCCTTCGACGAGCACTTTCAAACAAACTTCCGAAATGATTAAATAAACAACGACCACCAGAATCAAATAGAACAAATTGTAAATGAATTGGGGGCGATGGATCCGGTACACGTGCCACACTCTTTCTACACCTCCCCTAAGGAGATCGGGGAAACAATCAAGTTCCTCAAAAATGGGAAAAAAGGGGGTTGTACAACTACATTACATAGTAAATGCAATTTTCAGGCTGCAACATTATCCTAGTTGCCTGAAAATTGCAAATATTATACCCATTCTAAAAGCGGGTAAAAATCCCAACAAAATAGACAGTTATAGACCCATCTCGCTGTTAAACACAATTTCAAAAATAGTAGACAAAATCATATTAAATAGACTAAACAAAATAGAGGAACAACTACAAATTATACCACAGGAACAGTACGGGTTCAGAAGTGGACACAGAACCGTTGCACAAATCGTAAGAATTGTTCATAGTGCCAAAGAGGCGTCAAATTTCAACAAACAAACGGTGCTTGTGGCGCTTGATAGCGAGAAAGCTTTTGACTCCGTCTGGACCTGTGGTTTAATTCATAAAATGCTTGTGAATGATTTTCCCGTTCACGTTGTAAAAATAATACATTCTTACATAACTGACAGACGCTTCAACATTAAAATAAACAGTACAATCACAGAACCCTACTCTGCGCTGGCGGGAGTACCCCAGGGCTCAGTATTGTCGCCTCAGTTGTACTCGATTATGACCCATGACATCCCTATGGGCCGTAATGGTGTACAAACGGCACTATACGCTGATGACATCTGTCTTTTCAAAAGCAACCATTCTGCTGAGAGTGCAACAAGAACACTGGATATCCATATAAACAGGAGACTAATACCCTATCTAACTAAAAACAAAATGAAAATCAACCCCGCAAAAACGGAAAGCATGCTCATAACGAAGAGAAGATCTAGGGGCATTCATATTCCCCTAAAAATCGGTGATCAAAACATACATACAAGCGATAGAATGAAATACCTGGGTTTTCAGTTAGATAGGGGATTAACATTCGATCTTCATGTTAAAGACAGGGTGGCGAAAAACCACATTGCAATCAAAACGCTCTACCCTATACTAAATAGGAGAAGCAGAGTCACCCTGTCAAATAAACTATTAATCTTCAAGTCAATCCTGAGACCAATCTTGACTTATGGATGTCCGGTGTTCTGTTCCATGGCAAACACTCATTTTTCGAAACTACAAGTAGCCCAAAACAGATGTCTTCGGCTAGCTCTGGGATACGACCGCTATGCCAGAATAGCCGACATGCACAGACAGACGGAGACTCCTTCCTCCATGGGAGACTCCACTCATCAAAGACTACATACTAGATACAGCCGAAAAATTCTACAAGCGGTGCCTTCCCGATAATGTGAGATGATATCTTTAGCATATATCAGGGGGACAACGTGCGTAGAAAACACGGCTGCATCCACGCAAAACGTAACATCCCATCTAACGTTCCCAGACATAGGGGTCTATTCTGTAAAAATTCCTTTATATTTAACGGCCTTTAAAAATATTTTCTTCTTTAATTCGGTCACTATTTAAACGGATCTTTAAAATACATTAGAGGACTATCTTATAGAAATCTGTTTAAATAATGATAGAAGTAAATTAACGAATACAAATATACTTTTAAAGGCTGCCAATATTTTTAAAGGCCGTTAAATATAAAGGAATTGTTACAGAATAGACCCCATACTAAATAATATCTCACACCGACTAGATATTTGCACAAACTAGTCGGACGGCAACTGATCGGTGAATCGGCCATCGAGGCAACAAACGCGAAACTTTACATTCGCGAGTGCTGCTTCCATGGAAGTTGCAAAGATCACTCTGCCTGTGGGATATAGTAAATAACAATAGACTATACAAACGCACACACAAGGACAACCCTGTTTTTTCTAGCTTTTTCAGGGAACAAAAATCAGAACTAAAACACGATATATCCTTACTTATTTCTCATTACCGATTCCAAAACAAACCCCAATTCCTCAATAATACCGTAACGGTAAGGAGTGAGGGCTGTAACGTTGCAAATTTAAATTCAAAATGGTTATTATTGGCGGAATTGTCTTCCATGGTCTCCTGGACCCGCACGAAAGGAGGAATCTCGGTAGTGTTGTAAATATTAATTATTTTTTGACATGTAGATAAAGATTTAATATGTAAATAAATTGATGTTATACTTATAAAACTCGCGTATCGGGAACAACACTAATCATTTGTAGTGCGCATGTCGTACGCGTTTTATTTGTACATCGGTCTCCTTTTGACAGAGTAGGTGAGCTGTATCCAGGCCATTGGTGTTTATGCCGGTCGGCGTAGCCAGGTATGGATTGAAATTTTTCCGTGGCGGCGTAGCCGCCACCCTACGAGAAGTCGTTGCTTCGTCTTCTTGTTGTCACGGCATTATTATTATTTGTTCATGTATGTGAAATTTGCTCCTAAGGCTTATAAAATACTACTGCTAGTCACGGCATAAATGAAAACAAACAAGACGCATTCACACAAACATCTCCCACCACAGCAATTACAAATGAGTGTTGTCCCCGATACGCAAGTGTTTATAAATTCCCTCCCACCTCACATACAGCGCCACCGTCTCGCCAAAGCATGTTCATAGCCGTCAGAAATGTTTATTTGTTTTATGCACATGTTATGTAACACTTTGTTATTTTCTTCCACAAATTATTTAAAGTGCTTGCAAAATTCTGCAATACTTCAAACACTGTGGTGAGTAGGTAGTAAACACTGATGTCTCAAATCATTCATTCAAACATAGTTTACCTATAATTGTTTTAGTAAGATATTGCAAATAATTATATATGGAATTTGGGGCATAATGGGTGGGCCAACATGAACTGCTCTTTATTCCTCAGTCCGTTTTACCCCGGATAAACAAAATATAAGAAATGTACATATTTCGCTTAAATTTTTCTTGGGTATAGTACAAAACTATAAGGAGTAACAGAAAGAAGAATATTCATATGAAGCGAGAATAAGAGAAGTAGAAGAAGGCGTTTGCAATCCCATGACGCTGACTGATCTCATCCGCCGATATCCCCCAACATCCGCCGACATACTCCGACCACGCACACTTCACTACAAACAGAGTGGAAAAATTTAAGCATGTAATTTTTGTAAATAAAACAAAAAAGTCGTGATGCAGAAAAAACTTTACTGTGCGCTCATTTTGCTCCAATATCGGGGCAGAACGAGCAAATGACATTTATCTTTTTATTTGTGGTTAAGTTAACCCATGCGTTATTTTTATTAATAAACATGTAAGCAATGTAATACGACTTGTTATTTTCATTAAAGTTTATTTAGACGAGAATTATGATTTTTTTTTCCTTAACGTGTCCGTTATACTCGTAGGAGAACTCTTGCATATTTTAACAAACTAACCTCGCTTTTGGGCGGCATTTGGGCGCGATAATTATTATTTTTCAATTTTTTCTAATTGGTATATTCATTAAATATTTTGGCCTTAAGAGTTTTACTACAATAAAGTTTAATAAAAAAATAGATTATTATTTTTATTGATTTAATAAAATAAACATTAAGGTATGTATAAATAATAAGGGTATGATTAGTAATTACAGAAAGATATTGGAGATTAAATATAGAAATTCCGAAAATTACTTAAAGTGTATCATATCAAGCAATTATTAGAGATAATTCAGTTTTGATAGATCATTACTAACTGGTATTGGTTTTAAATTCTGAAAATTACCTAAAATGTATCATAACAAGAAAATATTAGAGATAATTTAGTTTTGTAGATCAAAAAAGAAACATTTTGATTCTTAGAAAAAGGTATTTTTGTATATTACTCGTAGAAAAAATAGAGTATGCAACTCTTATGTAATATACTATTATTAAGATATACTCTAAGTACTGTGGGGCAACCCACCCTCCCTCAGATTAAAGTTACAGAAAATATCCCGAAGTAACTGCTAATTTAAAAAACCCTGTATTTGAATTATATATTATACTTTATTTATATTACCTTCCAACATCTTTTTTTTTTGTCTTCTTCCATAACTCACACTGTCATTAAAGCAAAACAAAATCAGAAAATAGTCACCGATAAAAATATTTAAGCAAAATAACAGAAACAACCGAATAATAATAATTATAAATTCACGATTTCGATACCACTGCCCGTGCCGGTCGCTACTGCACTGAAAGTTTCGGTATAGAATATCGGTATAGGTGTGCTTGAAGGTCACGAGCCCTCGAAGATCACGTAATCGGAGATATCCTTCTGGTTATTATTTATTCTTGTGGTTACAGTTAACAATCATATGAACTTCTTGTATTTTTATTGATCGTTGTATACATATGTATGTCCTACAAATCTTCTACATTTACACAGGGGAATATTTAACAAGTTGTACATTTGTTACAAATGTAGGTTTTCAATCTTCCTCAATTATTATTCTTCGATGTAGTCCCATAGCAGCCTCGAAATCAATTTCAGGTAATAAAAAATCTAAATTTTTCCCCAATTTCTTCCTTGTCGGTCACCTTAGAAAATACTCTCCAGCTAAACGCTACACGACAAAATTAAATTGCATATCGTATTAAATGCACTAATTGTATTTATCTAATTACGCAAATTCCACGAAAACCATCAAAACAGACCCACAGTCCACAGATCACTAACCCTATTAAACGATTAAATACTCCACTGCATCAAAGTGCAAAAATTGTAGCGTTGATGACTAAAATGCTTAATTGGTTTACACCTACCATCAATTTAGGCAGAAATTAAAACCATCTCGCGGTCAACCTCGATACATTACACTTTCGGGAGAACGATATAAAATATAATTAAATATCTGTCATCTCTTTTCTAATTTTAAATTATCTCAACTAAGGTTATGACCTACGAAAATAAATTTTGCGTAATTGCCATTGAGTTAAATAATAAACATTTTTAAGGCAACATAACAATATCAAAATTGTGAAAAGGAGCAGGTCTTAATTGATTTTTAATAACGGCATTTCTATTTTTTTTATGAAACTTAGGTATTCAAAAACAGAGCAGCAGACAAGTAGTTGAGTACATAAAATTACAGAGCCCCCCCCTCACTTATGCATCAGTATTGCAGTCGTGTCGACGAAAACATTTTCTTATCCCCACTTTTTAAGACCTTTTTTCATGTTTCCGATCATTCTGAGTCCAAAAATGCAACGATAACTCTAGAAAGAAAGATTTTGGAAAAATATTGAAAATAAAAAAAAATATGACTGTATGACTGTTTGTATTTATTTTAAAACTAAGGCCCATAAAAAACAAACCTAGAACCAGCCACATCTTAATTGAAACTCCTTAATTTGTCTAAACAATGTCAAACACTAATTCGGGATGTTTTTCAAGAAAAATCGCTATGCATTCTGGATCTGAATATTTCCACTCCCCATTTATTTTCACACTTTTACGGAAATAACATTCGATAATTTTATCTAATAATGATTTTTCTCGATTGCTCGTTATAATAATAGCAGGGATTAATAATTAATTAATTAAAATCGTGAGTATTCTTATTACATTTAAGAAAAACTGACTTCCACTCGAGGAAAACACAGATTTAACCTTTATATATATAAATAAGAATATACATATTTAATTGAACACATTTGATGCTCGATTTAATCACTTATTTAGAGACGATTTTTTAGCATTCGTGTTTAAAAATTTCTTAAATAAAGATTGTGGCATGCTTGACTCAAAAACAAGCCCGAAAATGCTTATTTTTTGCTCAAAGTAAGCATGAATTTCTCTCTGTGTATGAATACGAATATATATTTTACTTTTCCTAAAAATAAAACTAGGTACTAAGATACACTTGTATACACTTCTATTCTTTTCAATGTTACTTTCTAATCTTAACTTTATTTCTCCTGAAAACACTAAACTACCTACAAAGGACCTTTTTTGTAGCTAACGACAAATTAACGACATCCCCTTTTTCATTTCCTCTCTTTTATGTTTTAGAAACGCCGTAGAAACTTAATGAAACCAATTTTAAGAAGTATCTTTCTTTCATTCACACCAGAAGTAATAAATTATCCCTTTCCAGTTAATTTAGCAATAAGTTGACTGAATTCCCTCTGCTCTCATACAATTATTTTATATTAAGTAAGTGATAAAACCTTAAGTGAACAACATATATAAAAATGTATAATCACATAAATAACATTAACCACCCTTACATCCAGACTAGGGAGTGCGTTACGTTATATACCATGTGCATTTGATTATGTTGCCTAGCCCTGTAGGAGGGTGCGTCAATGCCCTCATTAAAAGTATTATAAAAAAATTATAGTTAATACACTTTAATTGTAGAAACAAAATAGATAAAGCCTAGCTCGCTAATAAAGTAATATCTAATAATAAACTTTCCAGGAGGTCAAGAATAATAAAATTGATATTGACAAGAAAATAAATCATGAGCAAATAATGTAAGATTTCTATTGTAACTTTGTCAAGAATGATTATAGATTAAATATGTATAGGTACCAAATTATAATTTTATAAAGTTACTATAGTTCAAGTGAAAAATAAAATTCATGTCTTCAATGTCTTCTTTTTTTGTTTACTTAAACTTTTCAATATTTTTGCCAGAACCATTTTTTTCCACTTAACACCATTATAACTAGTCTCATGGACTAACCATTAATTTTGTTGTGGAACAATCCTAAACTAAGTACTTAAAGTCAATACATCGATCTTCATTAGATTGTTCTGACTACTATATACAAATCACTCGCGCACTAAGCTCTTCTTTCACACATACGCAACACCACATGAGATCAAATGGCTTGGTCCTCTTCAATCGTGGAACATGGTCCTGGTTGTCCAGCAGCTGAAGAGCTTTTGCATTGATATGTAGGTGAAGTCTGGCTTCATGCTTGCCAGCAAACCTTTTGCTTTAAGATTTCACCAGCAATTAAATCGAAGCCTGATGCTTTTAGTAATGCCGCGAGACAAGACGAGACGAGAGAGTGTCCTCTCTCTTCTTTTCTCGTAGGGCGAGAGAAAACTGTTCGCTCGTCTCGACGAGAAAGCGCTTCTCTCGCTAGAGAGAACCTTTCTCTCGTCTTGTCTCGTCTCGTCTTGTTTCTCTCGTGATAAAACAATATCAAATTTAAATTTGAAAAAGTCGAAACATGAAAAAACGGTAAAATTTGTAAGACAAAAACAAAGAATTTTTCAAGTAATTTGCGCATTAGTATTCAAATTTGGCAACAGTCGATTCCAGTGATAGTTCTGCAGAATCAATGGATTACGAAACTTTATAGATTTAGAATTCAAGTAAGTGATACCAAGCTTAATTTACATATTTTTATAATAAACAAAATACAATTATAAACATAGATGAATTATTATAACAAAAATAGATAACCAACCTACTTTCATCTAGTAATATTCACAAATACCCATTTAATTTGCCAATATAATATTTCTGCGACACTGGAAGAGTGCATTTTAATATGATAACGATACCTTTTGCAGTTTAAGGCGCACCTTCTTCAATATTTTGTTGTAGTATAATATCCCATTTAATTTTCCAATAGTGTTTCTACGCCACTGGCATAATATTTACATATTTTAACAATAAACAAAACAAAATTATAAACATAAATGATTATTACTACAAAAATAAATAACCAACCTTCTTTCATATAATATTATTTACTATTACCGCATTTAATTTGCCAATAGTTTTTATACGCCACTGGCGTAATTCATTTTGGCAATAAACATGCATTTATGACTAGTTGGCACGTGATACCGATAACTTTTGCAGTTTTAAGCGCGTGATTCCATTCATTATGCTCTAGTATACTATTATTGTTGTACGTGAACAGGGAGGAATCACCTTCTTCAATATTTTGTCCGAGTATAGGTTGTTTATGTGAGGTGCAAGCACGTTTTTTATTAATAAACCAGTTCGTACAACTATGATTCCTGCTTTACATTGTTACCATACTATAAAATAAATGCTGTACTTTCCTGTAAATCCCCTTCAGCTACATTAATAGTCGCAACCAGAAAAAGACATTAAACAGTTAGTAAATAACATTCTTTAATGTAATTTTGAAAGCCTTCTGCATTTTAGAGTCTTATGTTAAGTCAATTCCGAATTATAAACATAAACGTTCCTTGTAACAAGACTCTCCCATACTCTTCCATAATAATTTGGCACCTTGATTGTTTGAAATTCGAAAATTATTTAAAACTAGAAGGTTTATCAGTATTAATTTAAAAATATTTTTTCTACGTTCACTATCCAAAGTAGGCTCTGGCACATTCAAATCTAACTAGAAAGTTGACGTTTTTTGCGAATTGTCATGATTTAAAGTTACTTTGGCACACGCTTGTCTATTTTCATAAGAATTATATAAAAGAAAGCTAGTAGTGTTTTCAAATAAAATGTGGGCTATTCTAAAATATTTTAATTGACTTCCTAATATTTTAAATCATCCAACAATATTTTCCGTAAATAATCAAATGAATAAATCATAAATAATTACCGACATATTATTAGTAAAACATTTGTTTCTCTTCGAAGAGTAGGCTTATGCCAAATAAACTTACAATATTATAACGAAAGAAGGTAAGGTAACCCATTTCTAATAAAATTAATTAATTTATTTTATTTTGGTGTGATTGTAAAAAAAATATTGTGTGTAATTCGAGCAGAAAGTCCTTTGGCAGTTTCGACAGATTGCCAAAGTGTCACGTTTTGCTCTTAATACAGAAATAACTATTGTGTTTATAAGGAATTTAAACACCCTTAGTAAAAGTTGTAAACGCAATTTTCATTCTCATAATTCAAAACCATGAATTTACCAAAAACTAAACCAAAATCTAAATAAAAAAAAAGAATTGGACTTACATTAAAATCCAAATAGCACATTAAAAGCGACCGCATTCGCGGGCTATAAAATACGATTTTCCTCCTCGCGCCAACGAGAGAGGTGTGACACAACCGCGAGAAAATATTTGTAATGAAAAACTTTCAGTAGCACATGTTCGCATGACGCTACGATACGCTCCAACTATATGTAGTGTGAAGCAGCCAGGAAAACCAGCCTCTATCTCCCGATTAAATAGGTAAATTTTCCGATTTTCCCATTCCTCGTGGTATCAGATGCCTGCAGTAGGGGCGGTATTTGATTGGTTTTGGAAAAATGCAAAAGTGTAAAATGCAAAAATTGGAAAAAATAACAAAAAACAAGTAATAGTAAAAATATCGAATGAACTACTAAAAGTATTTTTTATTTTCGTTTTATTTTATAATTGGTTAAAAGTTAAGTTAAGATCGTTAGGAGTACCTAACCACAAAAAAATGTCACTGAAGTATTTAATTGAACTGAAAATTATTAAATTAAATAAAAGTCACCTCAAAAGGGCAAAAAGTGGATATGTTGGCCAATTGGCAAGAATATGAATTTTCATTGTAGTTTCGCTATCATTCCCATTCCCATTCCCATTCCCATATGTCCATATCGGTTTAATCAATTTAGATAGATGCTAGTGATAAAAATCGAATCCAAAAGATTCAAAATTCCTATATTCGACTCATATATGGTATCGGACGTGGTCAAAGGGTTTCATATCAACTTAAAAACTTAAAATGGCTAAACATGCACAATTGCCGCACTCTACATTTAGGTTGTTTTCTTTTTAAAATTCTAAAATTCAAAACTCCTTATTTACGTTGAAAAATTTAATTTCGAACCGATGTTCACAATATCAGAGGGAGAATTTATTCTGGATACTGATGCTAGTAATGTGGTAATTGGAGAAGTGCTTTTACAGATTCAGGAAGGGAAAAAAGAGTACTAGGTTATTTTAGTAAAGTGCTCTCGAAACCTGAGCGAAATTACTGCGTCACAAGAAGAGAACTCCTGGCAGTTGTAAAGTGCGTAGAACACTTCTACCAATACCTGTATGGAATGAAATTTTTAATCCGGGTCGTTCATGTGGCTGATGCAATTTAAGAACCCGGAGGGTCAAATTGCCAAATGGATTGAACGACTTCAAGAGTACGACTTCAAGAGTACGACTTCAAGAAAATAAGTCACAGAAATTCCAATTCTCTTTCTAGAAAACCGTATTGAGCAGAGGGCTCCCTCTGCAACAAAGCGGAATCCAAAGAAAGTGGATTACTAAAAACAACTGTAGTCAACGATGAGTGGTCTCCTGCTAAAATTAGGGAAGAACAAGAGAACGATACCGTTTTAAAGAAAATCGTCGACCTACTTGACAAGAAGTATCTAATCTTTATCCAGTACTTAAATCATATTTGACACAGTGGGACTGTTTTATTCTGGAACATGGCTTATTAAAGCGAGTACTTGAAAATGATGATGGTTCCAAAAACAGAAGACAGTTGGTCATTTCAAAGAGTAGAGTAGCCAAAGTACTTCGTCAGTTACACGACAGTCCATAAGGAGGACATCTCGGTATTAAGAAAAACTCTTCAGAGAGTTAGTGAAAGGTTTTACTGGATGAACAGTTCCGATGATGTAAAGGTGTAAAAAATGTACCACCTGTGCTATGAGTAATGGACCGAAATGAAAAAGGAAGATTCCCATGAAGAAATACAACGTTGGTAGCCCATTTGAGAGGATCGCCTTAGATATTGCTGGACCATTCCCCGTGACCGAGGATGGTAATAAATACATTTTGGATACATTATGGAATATTTTACAAGAGGCCGCAACTTTTGCAGATGTGTTGATAATAGAGTTTATCTGTCGATTTGAAGTGCCCTTGGAGATACACAAAGAATAAAAATTGGGGGATAACGGGGGTTGATATATTTAAAAAAATCTCAACTCAGAAATAAAAAACGATATTAAATTGAAATATTCAAGAACAATCAAGCTTTATAAGATAAAGCCTATTGATTCTGAAAAAAATTAATCGAAAATGAGGTTTAAAGGGGGGTTTGTTAAATTGTGACGAGTTTATTATAGAATACCAAGAATTATATATCTTCATTCTAGTTTGGAATATGCAGCAAAATATTAATAATAATATACATAGATATTCTTAACGGGTAAGTATTACAATGTTGTTTATGAAAAAAATATAAATTATTATATTAAGGAAACTAAGAGATTAAAATAAAGTATGAAATACAGGGTGGGGACTTTAACTTGAACTAATTTGTGAATAAAATGCAAAAACATAGCAAGCTGGTGCACTACTACGCTGTTCATGTACGCCAACATTTGAATACATTGTTTAGAATAGGTGGATTGGTAGAAGATGGTGTGATTAAATGAATAATAAGATCCATTGATCTAACACTTTTAGATTTTTATTTATGGGGCTTGGGGCTACTTAAAAACTAAAGCGTATGTCACAGAACCTCATAATATTGAAGAATTAAAAATTAGAATAAGAGAAGAAGAGGGCGAAAAATATGTTTTCAGTATAACTGGAAAGCCCACAAAAATTTCATTGGACGTGTTTTTGTGTTTTATTTAAATATTTTATCCTGAGACTCTAGTAAATTAGTTCCAGTTAAAGTCTGAATGGTAAAAAATCGACTCCAATTGAAGAGTTTATTAATTTTTCATGGATCCCAATATCAGATCATGATTAAATTTATTAAGTTCTACCCTTGAGGTATGTCCTTGTCAACAAAGGCGGTAAAGAATTATTACTGAACATTCATAAAAAAATATTCCGATGAATTGAAAACCTGCTTTTCCTTTTTTTGAAGTCGGTTAAATAACTAAAAGAACATAAAATATCTAAAATATAATGTAAATTGTTAAAACTAACATCACAATCAATAAAAGTTTTGTTTTGTCTTAACTTTAGCTTAGATACATTAATTTTTAGCTTATTTAAATGACTGGAAGTAAGAAAAAATTCTTAAAATTACAATATTTTCCCTTTTTTTTGTTAGTATACAATTCTTAAAACATATTGTATATGATACCTCTATCACTGTAAAATCCTATTAATTTTGTTTATTAAAATGTTTTAGAATATCCCAACTAAGAAATAATATACCTAATCTTCTTAGTATAAATAAATTTCTTATTACAATCTACAACTCTATATTTACATCAATAAAAACGCGTTTTATAGAAGTATTTAAAAATTCACAAAAGAAAATCTTACCACATTAGATATTCGTATCCCCATGCAATTTGTTTTAATTTTCAAATTTTGCGTATACCGCTTCTACTATTCACTAGTTTTCAGTTTTCCCGACGCTGAAAATATTTTGGATGGTTGTTATAGCAACCGCGCGGTTTGTCTCGCTATCGCGGACTGAAACTCCTGAAAGTCAATGAGAGGATGTTGATCTTTTGGAGAGTCGGAGAGACGTTATTTCTAATCCGAGTGTAGATATATAATGATTACCAATTTTTCTTTTTTCCTGCGTTTTCTCTGTGTGTGTGTATGTGTGTGTGTCTTTGATGTACGAGATGGTTATAGATAGATAAGTAGGAACAAGGGAGATCTAATTTTAATTGCCAGTTCTATAAATAAGAAAATAAATTATAGTTGATATTAGGATAATAAATTGTTAGGAGGTAGGAGGAAAAAAAAAAAATCTAATTAATAAGCACAGATGGGAAACGACATTTGTTTTCTGGTTTCGTGTAATTTGTTATACATAGTAAGTATATCGTTTTTAGTTAAGAGAATAACAAACGTATTAATCACACTAAGTGTACTGTGATGATTGTATAGACTGTTTTTATTTTAAATGATACCAGGACAGTTGAGCAAGGTGTCCAATGGATCATGTCATCTTCCAAATCTAAAATTTGAAAGTTAAAAGTCGGCTCTTGGTAATTTCTGTTTTTTTTTAATGCTTTTATATTAACTAAACTAATATAGTCACAGGCTCTGTTGTTATTTTTTTTATAAAACTTACAAAAAGTGATCTAATTAACAATCTGATTTTATTCCTGTTGAGAATCTTACAGTCAAGGTTCGGTAAAAATTAAACACAAAAATCAGTTTAATTAAACTTGAAAACCGGTTTTTGTGGCAATCCGTAGAAAGGAATTTTGATTAAATGAACTGATAATATTTATGATCATGTACATATTTTTACATAATAATCAATCAAATCTGAAAGAAAACTTTTCAGAAATTTTAAATAAAACTAAATATTAAATAATAACTTATATTTATAAATAAAGAAGCTGTCATTCAACAGTTTAGCCTAGGGACTGAATTGGCCCTGTGCTTGGTGTTGCACAGAATCATCTTCTTCAGGATGAGCAGCGTTGTACTCTAAAGCTCTAAGAATTGCTGGTGGGATTGGTGGAGGAGTGTTAGTATCTACGGGAGCTACTGGTAGATGATCCCCTTTAGCTTGAAATCCAAGTTCATTAGCAAGATACTCTAAGAAGATTGGAAAACCTTCGGGTGACTGGTATTCTACTTTACCAACTACTTCTTGTGCTTCATTTTGAGTTCCAGCGTTTTTTAAAGTTCCCTGTTCTTCAGATTTGATACCGTTGCCGGTTTCGAATGAAGAACTGTATCGTCCATCAATGCCAACTTCAGATTCTTGTCTAAGGATGGGAATAACCGAGGGAACTTGTTCGGGAAGGATGCCTGCCAGTGTCACTGTCACCAACGTGGAAAAAAGAATCTGTAAATAGGAATATATTGTCATGGATTATTTATTGTAACAAATTTGTGGTATATTATAACTCAAAAAATTGTCATTCTACACACGCGACTTTAACCTGAACACGACCCTGCTTAGATGATGTTTTTACGACATATTATTTTCTACATGTTGGTTGTAAAACTAGGTTCAAAAATTGGATTGAAAAACTGGGTTGTAAAACTATGTAGATTGTAAAACTAGGTTTTAAAACTAGGTTAAAATAAGTTGTCAAACTGAATTGTTCTCATAAAAATTTAAGAAAAAAAATCGATTTTTGAGATTGAATTTTCGAGAGGCAATATTCCAATTTGGTTTGTAAAATAAATTAGGTAATTTTTTTTACATCAATATTTTTTTTTGTCAACATTTTTTTTATAAATATTTTTTCGTCAACATTTTTGAGAACATTTTCATCTTTTATGTTATTAACCTTAAAAATCCAACATTTAGATTTTAAGATGGCAAATGCAGTAATGGAGATAAGTTGACGAAACAATATTGTATTTTCCTATTATATTCAGTATTGTAATATATTTTTTGAAAATAATGAATTTGTATATTAATCAAATCATCCTAAAATATTACAAAATGTTAAAAAAAAAACAGAAATGTATTTACTATAATTATTAAGAAATGACTCGGTTATTAAGTCTATGATCTATTATTTTTTTTCTTTATACTGAAATTTACTGATTCTTATGAAAACACAGGGAAATTTAAAAATTATTGTATTGTCTAAAATGAGGGCTTGTTCCAGATTTATCTTCATGCGTTACTTTGCGAAAGCACTATATAATGATTTAACTAGCTGTATCATTAACATAAACACAGAATTAATTATTGTGGGTTTGATTTAGAAGTAGATTAGTTAAACTTGATCTCTCACCTTATTTAAATAAGATTATTTGATTAATTGAATTTATATTGTTACGATCATCATTAGTTACCTTTTTTATTACTCTGCCTTGAATTTCCTCCATTAAGCCGTAACATAAGTATTTTTATTACATTAAATCACTTAGGAATTTTGAAACTTGAACATATACATAGTTAATGAATACATAAAAAAAAAATGTATCGTTAATGAATACATAATATTTATTGTTAACTAATCTGACTTTTTTTAATTGTGAAAGTCAAAATTATATTTCTGAACTCTATATTATTCCTAATCACTCTATTCAGGTCAATTATTTTCGATTTTCGAAAACATTTTATAAATAATGTCAATTTTTGGTAGGTAGGTCTAAAGCTAAAGTCTATTCCAATCCGAGATTCAGCGCATGTAAACAATGATCAGCGCGTGATCGCCTCGTGGCCTGCTGGAATCTGCAATGCTATTGGTCAAATGGCCATAAACTGCTAGAGCTGCTCTTTACTGTTTTGATGCAGATGCGTACTCAGATTCAGTGCGAAGTGCATCGTCGTTAAATGTGTTGTTTGAATTGAATCTTTTTAAATACCGTTACCTTGTAGTTTGAATATTGTGTTTTATTTAAATACTTTCGAAGTATATTAAATAGTGTTTGCTCCTCGGGCATATCCCGAAATTTTTTGTGAATTGTTTAAATACTTGTTTGGTATATTAAATAAAATATCCAGGACACTTGAACATGTCTAGCACGGATACAGCTGATGAGTTTACAGAAATGTATTGTCTCCTCCTAGGTAAAGGTCGAAAAAGTCTCATTTCGACATAAAAAGCAACGATATGATTTTAAACGTTTATAAGCATGAGACTCAAGAAAATCCAACAATTACTTAAAGATGAAATTGTAAACAAAGTGGTAAAGGAGTGTCTGGTCGCATCGTCTACAAAATTATCAAAGAATATACCACTAACCATACATTTTCGGCGCCAAAAACCAACCAAAATCGTAAAAAAATTGTAGATTTGGTGGATGACTTTGATAGAAATGTAATCAGAAGAATAGTGCATCAATATTTTTTTAAAAACGAACTCCCTACTATTGATAAGGTACTTAAAGACATCAATGACGCTCTGGACCTGCCAAGTTTTAATCGCACTACATTGTATAGATTATTGAAAACATTAAATTTAAAATATCAAAAACGAGGAAGAAATAGCTTGCTTATAGACAGGAATGAAATAGTGCCATGGAGAAGAGAGTATCTACAAAAAATAAAATCCTACAGGAATGAAAATAGAAAAATTTATTTTGTAGACGAGACTTGGGTAAATGTCGGACATACCAAATCAAAAATATGGGTTGATAATTCTGTCACTTCCTCAAGACGGGCATTTTTTGATGGACTTTCAACAGGATTAAAAAATCCATCAGGTAAATTATAGTCGTATTATATTATTTACTTTCGGTATATGTATATTTTACAATTTTGGTATCCATCCGGCTGATTGAATAATGCTTTAAAATTAAATGAAAGTACATTGTATCGGGACATTTGAAACAATTATTTTAAGGCTACCACCATATCACTGCGAGCTTAATCCCATTGAGTTAATTTGGGCTGACATTTGTTGCGGAGCATAATAGTACACTTAAATTTGCTGACATGAAAAATATCTTTCATAATGCGATAGCTACCATCACGTCAGAAAAGTGGAAGAAATGCATTGATCACGTGCAGAAAAAAGTGGAGCAAAAATGTGGAAATTAGACAATATTATAGAGCAACAAATTGACAATTTGTAATAAATGTGAATGAGAGTGACACGTCTTTTGACGAACTAGAATGGCAACAGTAAATACAATAATCTTCACTCAATATAAATATTTTTTTTTTCATGTCGAAGATTGAAAATTCTATTCCAATCTGTTCTTTTTTTTAAATATTTGTTTAAAATTAGAAAAATGTATATGATGGCTTCATAAATACCGCTCTAAGTGTCACCTTGTATATTTTTAATATATTTTCTTCCAATTTTCGTTGGTATTAAGGTATTGAAAATTTATATCTCTAAAATTCTTAATTTAAATACATTAAAATTACATTTCAATAAAATGTTGTCCTCATTGCGGCCCTGGTCAAAAATTACATTCGCGTGCTTTTGTGTACATTTACTGAATCACGGATTAGAATAGACTTTAGGTATTAAGGTATTATAAGAAAATTATTAATATTATTCCATATACCAACCCTTGGTAACATTTTTATTACTTATTACAATAAGAAATGAAAGAACATAGTATAAAAGTATCAGAAAGGACCAAAATAAAAAAGTAAGACTAAGAATCTGGAAGTCCAAAATATAAAATTGACAAACAAAAATTAATTAATTAAGTGTGACAAACTTTTCTAATGAAAAATTGATTAAAAAGAGAATAGAGATTTGAAAAAAGCCTGTCGACTCCGGGATTCGAACTCAGACATCTTTGTTATTTACATCTAGAGAGCAATTTGATGTACTAGTTTGATCCAGACGCCGTTTTAGTCTTGTTCTCAAATTTTTAAATACCCCTATATACATAGGTATATATGCGAAATGCATTAATGCATACTAATCCCACATATTCGTCTGCGTGAGTTAAGTTTTCAATGTACGTTAAGCGACATAAACTTGAGTATGCAAATTATGAATTTAATATAGCATAGATAGCATATCGAAATCCGAAAGGTCAGAATTATCTGAAATAAATTGTAGAATAATTTTGAAAATTCGGAAAAAATCTCAAAAATCCCCTATGAATTATTAGGACCATCCCCAAACTTCAAAGGTGAAAATAAATACTTGGAGAATTGAAAAAAGCTTGTCGCCGCAGGGATTCGAACCCAGACATATTTGTTCTGTACACAACTTTTTTTTAAAAGTATAATACAAGCGTAATAAAAGTATAATATAAAAGGACATCGAAGAAATATGAAGAAAATGATGTAAAACACTAAACGAAGAAAGATTAAAGAAAGATAATGAATGGAAGGTAGCCAACGACGCACCCAGGTATTTAATATGGAGGGTGTTAAGATTGTTTGTTCGACATTTTGCCCAAGGTAAAATAAGACAAAAGTCATTTCTAGGGGGAAGTTGTTACCTCTAAAACCCCCATTGAGTGCGATATAACATTTTTAAAAATTTGGAAAGGAAGGAAGATCGTTTAAAGATTAAGAAATGGCGAGGAAAATGGTAGTTATGATGGGAATGCTAGTTGTTTTAAATGCCATTTAATATTATTATGCAATGATTAAATATTCCATTTTATTATGAGAGTAATATTTTTTTATAGAAATCTAATCATATCTCCTTTAACTTTATATTAAAAAACGGATGAAATAAAACAATTTTCGAATGCATGTCTTAGACATTGACGCATAATTCACATTCATAAAAGAATCTAATATCTAGATAAATATGTAGAAAAATACATCTGAACAATAATTATAAAATTACATAAAGTTTATATTCAAGCACAATCTGTTTGATGACGCAATTGATTTTGTTCTTTCTTTTATTGAAATAATAATTCGATAAACGATAATACATAATTTTTACTTACAATGTACTTCATCTTGCTGTTGCGCTTCTCAAGTTGTTGTCTGGTAAATATTTTTATTTGGCACCAAATTTATACAGATCTTGATGATGATGATGATGACACAAATTTATGTTCATTCATATTTAAAGTTAAGCAAATTTTTTTTTTGGAGAAGGCTGAGAAGCAAGGTCGTCGTTCGAGAATCGAAATTGACACCCTCTGCCTTAGATGAGTTATGATGAGTATTTCGAATCATAATTCGTTTTGACTATTAGACTCTAGTCGTGAAAAGATAAATAATTTTTTTTAAGATAATGGCCAACTGTGCTTCGTGAAACTCTGTGGTTCCATGTAGATAGCTCATAGCTTCCGCGAAACCGTAAAAACCCGTTTTTAAAAAATGATTTATTTTAATTAAAAAACAGATTTTTATCCGACTATACTA